CACCTTCATAATGGGTAAAGCTGGGAAAAGTGGCCTTCTGATGCTGAACCCAAGAATCGGGGCTTGCCATCCACCTGAGACGCCGCTGGCATCACCGTTCCCCCCACTGGATAGTGACGGAGGTGGGAGCAGAGCTGGATGTGGCCTTCCAGGAAGAGCAGAGTGGGAGACTGTGTCATTTCAGCAGCCCTGGGCAGGGGGCCCGAGTGTTAAATGAGTTAGTAATGGAGCTCCCTTGAGGGAAGCAGCCGGAGCTGTGCAGGGGCTGTTTGTCCCCCAACAGCACGTGGAAGATGGGGATGAGCTTTCCCAGATGTTGGGGGAGCATGGGGTTCAGCTCTGGGAGAACCGCTCTGGGCATCCTTGGGGTGTGTGAGGGGGATGCTGGCCTCAGACAGCAGTGGGCAGGGGGTTGCCACACGCTTCCCTGGGGTCATCCTGTTGCTGAAGCTGGAAGTGCGTGCTATACAGAGATGGTGGCTGCTTCTCTGAACAAAGGCCTCGTCACTGTTTATTGTTTTTAAAAAGCTGTACAGTTGTAGCCCAAACTGTTTCTGAACCTGTAGCTGCTGCATTCCTTCAAACTGCAGTCATGGCTTTGGGGCCGACTCGGGCGCTCTGGAGGCCCCCTGGGCCTCGCCGCGGTTCTGGCGCGTGTGCTGACAGCAGCCCCGTTTCCAGGTCGTGTACGAGCGCTGTGAGAGGCTGCGGCCCACACTCTTTCGGCTGGCGAGTGACACTGATGGCGACGACGATGCACTTGGTAAGGAACTTGTCTCTCGGCACGAACACAGGCACCTGTTGTCCCCTTGTGTTGCCAGGGACAAGATGGCATGGGCGTCAGGTGCCCTGGTGACTGGCCTGGGAAGGAAGGTCATTGCCGGGTGACTTAGAACTGATTTCCAAAAGGATCTAGGTGTGAACAATATGTCAGCAGACGTGAAAGCATAGAAAGGGGGGGTGGACTCGACCATGTAGGTTCGGTGTGAGGGAGCTGAAGAAAGAGAAGGTCCCGTGGAAGGCCCGAAGACAGGGTGACCGTCCCACACAGGCTGGAGGCAGCTGCCAGTGGTCACCGCAGAGGTCCCCCCAACCTGAGTGTGTGCCTTTGGGGGCGGTAGGTGACCTCAGGAGGCAGGCTGATGAGGGCTGGAAGGGGCAGTGGAGAATTGTAATACCTGCACGTGGGCAGCAAAACACTGAACTGGTTACGGCAAATCTCCAAGCCCGTGAGAAGGGGAGACAGTGGAATAAGGCCTGTGTGCTCTTCTCCTGTGAACAGCGAGCAGCTCGTGGCCAGTCTTTAGACCTTGTTCCATGTGCATTTTGAAGCAAGTGCTGAACATTCGAAAGGAATGAAACCATCCCTGATCAGGGAACTGGGCATTTCTCTCTCCAGCCATCTCTTACTGACCTTCTCTTGTTATTTCTTTAACAGATTGTTCTAAATCAGACTCAAAAAGAAAAGCCACAGTGCATTGACATGTAACTGGCTATTAGGTCGCTATATATATATATATATATATATAGAGAGAGAGAGAGAGAGAGAGAGAGAGAGAGAGAGAGAGAGAGAGAGAGAGCGAGCTTACGTCTTTTCGTGGGCGGCCCTCTGCGCTTCATCTCTCCTTATTTCTGTCATGAAGAACTTGGCCTTTGACCTATAGGGCTTCCTGTTCTGTTTTCCTTTTTTTTTTAGCTGAGCCATCCTGCCACCTGTTGGCAGCTCAGCGGCTGCTCACCTCGGGCCGGGAATCGAGCTGCTGTTGCTCAGAGCTCAAACTGTTGCACGAGCTCTTAACCAACTGAGCCCCTTGGCCGACATCCCCATGACATTCATCTCTCCTCCTGGCATTTCTCATGCACTGGATTGGGGCCGGGTCAGATTTGGGTTCAGTTGGGGTGGGGACAGGGAAGTGTTCAAAAGGCCCTGGCATCTGCTTCTGTTGTTTTTGTGCTGTAATTATTGTTGAAACTCATAACCTTTTTTCTCTGATTTCAGTGAAGTCAGAGGTAATCAAATTTGAAGTTTTAAGCAATTTGACATACCAAATAAAACACTTGCGAGGTGAAGTTAACCCCATGTTGTTGGTTTGCAATCTCCATCCAGTTAAAAAATAGGTTGGCTGAGTGGCTCAGTTGGTTAAGAGTTGGCTTGGAAGTGTGAGCTCTGGGCAGCAGGGCTGCCAGTTTGATTCCCACATGGGCCAGTGATGCTGCGCCTGAGCTGAGCTGTCACTGAGCTGCCAACAGGTGGCAGGATAGCTCAGCTGGTGTAACAAAAAGATTTCCTGTTCAATGGTGGGCTATGCCTACCCGCAACTAAGACTGAACTCAGCACCTTGAGCTGAGCTGCCACCCAGATGGCTCAGTGGATAGAGTGTGCGCTTTTAATAACAAGGCTGCTGGTTTGACTCCCGCATGGGATGGTGGCTACACCCACCCGCAACTAAGACTGAACACGGCACCTTGAGCTTAGAGGCCATGAGCTGCCGACGGGCAGCCAGATGGCGACTGGCGCCCTCCACAACGAAGATTGTAGAAAAACTTGGCCGTTCCCCTCCCCCAACTCCCCAATTAAAAAATTGGCAGGAACTGGTCATGGTTGGTCCCCCGTGGGAAGGACCCTCCTGGCCCCTGACCCGTGGCCCCTGCCTCTCTTCTGGCTGACTCCCCTGGGAGAGATTTTTTTATTTTGCAGGTAAACCGGAGCATGAAGTGCTCATGGAGATTTTGAAATTCAGGGCGCAGTTAGATGAATTACAGTAGTAGGTCCTCGGTTGAAGGAGCCACATTTCAAGTGTCGATCCATCATGTTGGGCAGTACAGACATAGGAGGTGAAAACATTTGGTTCCTGCTGCGCCCTGAGAACTGAAAGTATTGGGGTTCAGAGACTGACTAGTTCTGCTGGGGCCTGACCGTGTGATTTGGGGGCGGGGGCGTGGATCCACCCAGCCTGGCAGGGCCGGGTGACAGCTGCTCTGCAGGTGACAGCTGCTCTGCGGAACAGCCCCAAAAAGGCTAAGGTGGCTGGCAGCCGAACCAGGGCCCCGCTTTTCCCCCCTCAGCGGAGATCCTGCAGGCGAGTGACTTCCTCACGCAGGGCGTCCGGCTGTACAAGCAGGTGATGGAGGGCCGCGTCAGCGCTGGGAACACGGCGCCCAGCGCCGTGGGAGGCGCGCCTGTCTGCAAAGGTACGTGCAGAGCCAGTCCCTGCCCTCTGCCTGGGGCAGCCTGCAAATCCCAGAAAAGAAGGGATCCTCAGAATATTCTGGGTGTGGTGTAGAAATGAGAGAACTTGCCCTCTTCCCTTTCCTGAGAGAGCTGGGTTTATCAGCATCCTGAGCTGACCTCCAGGCAGGACCCCAGTCTTGGCTGTAACAGGAGCAGGTGGCCACAGTGCCCCCAAGTTTACTTGCCTCTTGTCGCTGGAGACCAAACACACGCCCTTCAGTGCTTCCTTCTTGCCAGGCTAGCCACGTCAGAATCACCTGGAATACTGGTTAAAATGCAGATTCTCGGGTCCCCGCCTGGACCTGCTGAATCAAGACGGCTTGGAGCTGGGCTTGGGGGTCTGTGTGTTTTTCACGCTCTCCGGGCTGCAGTCAGAAGCCTCCAAAGGGCTCTGAGCTGGAGAAGCTAGCCTGCCGCTGTCCAGGGTGACTGGACCAGCAGAGGACCCTGGTTGCTGGGATGGGAGGGCACCCTCGTTCCAGGTGCCAGCTGAGGCCGAAGGTTCTGGGGGGTGTGGTGCGTGAGCCAATGGGATGTCTTGATTGGGAGGAGGCCTGAGGGAGCTGACAGCTTTGAGTGGGCCTTGCCCTCGTTCCGATGGACTTACCTTCCTAACTGCCCTCTAGTTTTTCAGAACCCAGCAGGCTGCACGAGGAACTGCCTGATTGACTTGGAGGCGGACGGTGGGTCTAAGCAGGCTGGGACTGGGACACCATCTCTGCTTCACCAGGACCTGGCAGCCCTAGGTGAGGGTGGGTGTGTGGGGAGCCAGCCAGAAGGCCCTGCTCAGGGAGAGGGCAAGCCGCCTCCCCTTGGGGAGAAGACGCCTGTTTCTAGAGGGACTCGGGTATACGGGAAGTTCAGACAGGTCCTCTGCATTTAGTCCCAGACTTGCCCTCAGTGACTGAATGACCTCGGGCGACTTGCTTCATCAGGCTTCCTCAGTGTTCTAGAAAGGTGGGCATGGTGGCGAGCGCCAGCTCCCATCAGGTTGAGTGACTGGTGTGCCTCTCGCTCTTCTGTCCTTACAGGACTCAGTGATGGTCCAGCTACCAACAAGGTAAGGCAGCTCTTGGGAGGGGAGGAGCGGGGGTGGGGGGAGGTCCCTGGAAGCACCCCAGGAGGGCAGTGCCCCCTGGGTTGGGGGGGTCAGTAGAGGCTACAGCACAGCCTGGGGCGCGTGTGGAGTGGAGGCCAAAGCCTCTTCCTTCCTCAGCTCCGTCTGGCACGAAGCCCCAGAGGGAGCCCCGTTTTGCCCCTCCCTGCCCTCTTCAGTGGTGCCCAGGTGCCTGCGTCCTGAAGGTCTGCTCAGTGGCTTTGGTGGGGTCAGCAGAGCCAGCTGTGGTGTCGGCATGGCTCATGGTCATGCATACCTTGCCTTATTTTACCCATTCCTGGTTTGACAGGCTGCCAGTCAGAGTTGCTGTGAGGAGAAGCCGAACCCCGCCAGCCCCACCACCGGCACCCCGCCAGCTGGAGGCGGGCAGAGCCCATCAGCAGAACAGAGCCTGCTGGACCTCCTGTCCCCACAGCCACCTTCGGGCTCTCTGTGAGTCATGGGCAGGGGACAGGGAGAGGGCTTCCGTGTGCAGCTCCTCTCAGTGCACTGGGGCCTGGGGGTCCCTGGAAGCCGGCCAGAGACCCCTCCCCGTGGAGGGGCTTCTTAGGTGCCTCCCCTCGTTTCTTCCCATCCTGAGCCAGGAAGGTGCATGCTTTGGCCAGGGCCTCTGCAGACGGGTTTGCTTAAGGACTGGCAGCAGCAGATGATGGTTTTGGTGTTTATAGGTTGGGTTTTTGTGTTTTCCTGATTACGATGTAATTTGAAATTAAGCAAAATTTCATCACTAGAGAAGTAGTTAACTTAGAAGGTCCCACATCACCCTCTAAAGACAATAATATTCCTTCACTTTTTTTCTGTCCATGTAGTAACATGTTACTGTGCTTACTTTTGCACAAATGGGGGTCATAATTTACAAACTACTACAATGTGGTTTTTAATATCACTTAATATCTTTGGCACACTTCATATCAGTCTATATAAATTTACCTCATTCTCTCTTAACAGTTCTATAATAATTCACATACACACGTACTACCCGTATATGTAATCATTTCCCTCATGTGGATGTTTCCGTAGCTTCTACTCTGGAGGCGTTTGGGGAGCATTTTTACAGTGCAGGCTCCGAGAGGTGGGCGTGCTCCCAGGTGTGAACATAAACAGTTTCCAGGATCCTGTCCTGTTCCCTCTGGAAAGGTGGGAGCCGTTTGCCTCTCCCACACAGCCTGTGGGAGCCCGTGTCCCTGGCGAGACCACAGGGCTTGGTGGCAGTGGAGGTCACTCTGTCCCACCCACGGGGCGTTTCTTTCCAGTTCACTTTTCCTAACCGCTCGGGGGGATGGGGGATGGAGGGCAGCCATCATTCCAGTTCTGGTGAGTTACTTCTGTCTGGACTTGAGTTTTCTAAAAATGCTTTCAATTTGTATTCCAAATGGGCAAAATCATGAAGTATGAATGAGGTGGTCAGTGTAATTGGTGTTAACCGCCTTCCTGGCTTATGTCCCTCTAGTGGTCACATATGGGAAGAGAACCTAATAATTAGTAGCTCATTTATTGCCCAGGTGCCTGCGTCCTGAAGGTCCACACACCACTAAGTGCTTTTCGGACATTTTCCCATTTCATTCTTATGACAGCCGTGTGAGGTAGATATTAGATTATTCCCATTTTATAGAGGAGAACACTGAGGCATAAGTCAGAATACTTGGGGCCAGCCGAGTGGCACGTTAAGAGCCGGCTTGGGACGCCAGCTCTGAGCAGCAGGGCCCCGGTTCGGATCCCACATGAGGGCCGGTGACACTGCCCTCTCCAGCTAAGATGCTGAACAGCAGCTCAACCTGGAGCTGGCGACAGTGTAGGCTGCAGCCCCTGCTGCAGTGGGCTGCTGTAAGCTGTGTGGCCAGCAGCCAGCATGAGCGGCCGTCCAGTAGCCGGCGACCAATCTGCCTCATCCGGCAAGAGCACAATGATAATACCAACATGGGCCAGTGAAGCCACGTCCTCCACAACTAGACTGAAGAACAAAAGGATAGCAACTTATCTGTTCCCTCCCCCAATTCCCCAATAAAATCTTAAACAAAAAAAAAATAAGTCAGAATACTTGTGTAAAGTCATACAAGTATAACTCTTAAGACACACGCATTTCTTTTTTCCCTTATCTTATTCACAAAGCCTAATCACAGATTCCTGGAATTCTCTACTATTTTTGCCAGTCTTGATATATTTATTTCTTTGCAGGAATTATATTCCACAGAAAAGTATCCCTGAGGAAGTACCACCAGGTACTAAGTCATCCCCAGGCTGGTCCTGGGAGGCTGGCTCGTTGACTTCGTCCTCGTCTTCCCAGAATGCACCTCTAGCTCAAGTGTTTGTCCCTTTGGAGTCTGTCAAGCCCAGTAAGTAGTTTCACCATTTTGTCCCTTTCTTTGTAGTAGATGCCCAGCTCTATCCACCCTGGATTCAGAGGGGTGGCTCTTAAACTGGGGGTGATGAGTGGTAGAGGTTTTGCCGGGGGGCAGTGGCTTCCGGTCTCTTAGCTGATGATTTTTCTTAATGTTTCTCTGCCTTGGGGCCAATACTGAAGGCAATCGGGAGGCACGGCTTCATGGAGGCTGAGTGGAATTCGTGGGAATTCAGGAAGGGAACATTGAGTGTGGTCTGTAGTGACTCAGAAGAGGTGGGGTTACAGGGAGGGAAGGCTTTGGCTGCTGACCCTCTTCGTCTGGGGGTCCCCATCAGAGCAGGGACGTAGACACCAGCCCCTTACAGATGGAAGGAGAGCGGAGGCCGCTGCACTGGCGTGTGAGCAGCAGTGACCGCACTTCAGACCCAGGGCTCAGGGCCGCACCGAGGCTGGCGTGAGGCCTCGTTCAAAGGGCCCTGGAACCAGGCAGCGAGTGGAGAGGCCTTGGCACACTTACTTGGTTCATTTTTGACTTAACAATGATCCATGTTCAATATCCATTGCCTGGTTGTGATAATTGTACTGTGATGACATAAAACGTTAGCATTGGAGGAAATTGGGCGAAGGGTATGTAGAGAGGGGGTGGTCTCCTGTGTTAGTTTTGTAACTTGATAAATCTGAAATTACTACAAAACCAATTAAAAGCAAAAATATACATGTTCAATGCAGAAGTTTTAGAAAAGATAGAATAGAGCAGGAAATTAAAATTTCCTGTCCCATTACCATCCAGAAATGGAAGTTCTGTTAATGTCTTAATGTACTTGCTTATCCCTGTACATATGTGCATATGTTTTTAAATTAGCTAGCACCATGGTACATGCAGGCTGCTTTCTCCTGCTTTAAGTACTGTTATAAGCCATAGCTTTTTTTCATGCCCTTATGTTCTTCAGAAACTTGATTTATTTTTTTAATTCATACGTTATACTACTAAAGAATTGTTGTCACTCATTCAGTTCCTTTCTGAAGGATAATTTGTTTTGTTGTTTGCTGTTAAAAAGTGCTACAGTGAACATCCCTGGATACCCATTTTTAAAAACTTAACTGCTGGGTGTAGACACTTACAAATGTTTGATCTACATTATCAAGTTCCCTTCCAGAAAGGTTTTCTTAGCCCCGTAACTCATGGGTGTCAGTCTTTCGAATCTTCGGCAGTTTCATTATTTAGCTGTATTTTCATAATGTGCGTTTTGATAAGTGACGTTTGGCATAAGATAAGGATTTGTGAAAATGTTTTTCCAGATCGATAGCCAGTTGTCTGCCAGTTGTTGAACCAGCCACTGATTTTGAAATACATGTTTTTTAAAATGTCACAGCTCATTCGGATCTCTTCTACACGCTCAATTTTGTACCACTTTGCTTGACTGGGTGGTTTTGTTCTCATCTGAGTATTTGTTAATGCAAGTAGTCCTACTGCCTTCTTTTTTAATAGTCTCATGGGGTTTTTTTCCACAATCCCTTTAGGATTTCCATTAGGCTGCCAGTAAACCTATTAATTTGAAGAGCTATACTGTTTTACAGTTTTGTGAAGTTAATTATAGGAGGGGTATGTGTGTACTTACACAAAAGAGACTAGAAGGGAACAGGCCCAAATGTTAACAGTCTTTATTTCTGGGTGGAATTAAGGGTGTTTTTATTTAATTTTTTGATGCCCCGTATTTTCCATAGTTTTCAGGTATTATTTAATTGTAATTCTGTCTCCCTTTTGAAAAGTCTGGTTTAAACAAAGGAACGGGTGATGTGCCTATAGACGATTGGGTGGTGGGAGAGGTCAGCTTGGAGGTCACAACGTCCGCAGGAGGGACGAGGCTGGGCCTGCGCTGCAGCACCGAGGGTCAGGTGCACGGGCGGCTCGGAGCGGGGCCAGCAGCAGTGGTGGGCGTGCTGGGGACGGTACAGTGGGGACTGCAGCGACGTTCAGCTACCCTTCCGGTTGGTCCTTCTCTGCCAGGCAGCCTGCCTCCCATTGTCGTGTATGACCGGAAGGGCTTCAGGATCCTGCTGCACTTCTCCGAGACGGGGGCCCCCGGGCACCCCGAGGTGCACGTGCTCCTGCTGACCTTGATGAGCACGGCTACCCAGCCCGTCTGGAACATCTCCTTCCAGGTGGCCGTGCCAAAGGTGAGTTGCCAAGTACCGGGTGCTTTGCTGGGACCTTACCCATTAGGTGGAAGGGTCGGCATCTTCGCTCAGTAGTGTAAGAGAGGATCGGCTCATTTAACTGGGATTCCTGAGTGGCTGGCTTCCAGTCTGGCTGGATCCAGGTGGATTCTTAGCTGATCCCTTAAGAACCTCTCTTCCCACCTCCTGACTTTGCTTTTCTTGTTGGAGCCTGCTCCTGGTGGACCCCACAAAGCAGGAGCATGGCTGCCAGCAGCTTCACGTCACAGGGTCTGTAGTCCCTTCTCTCTAAAGAAGCCGGCACCCGTACCAGGCATGTGGGCTGATTGCCCATGAAAGGGGGTTGGCACTGTGCTGTCATTGGCGGACTGGGACCAGCACGGTGTTCGGTGCTCTGGACAGTCTGGATATCGGGTCCAGCCCTTTCCAGGGAAAGTAGAGCCCCCTGATAATGGCCACAGCAGAACCCCAGGGATCGGGAAGGGGCCTGTCCTGAAGGAGGGATTCAAGGCAGATGGAAATAAAGGCTCGTGTTCGCTAAGCCTCACGGTGCTCGTGTGGGGCTTGTACTGCTCTCCTAAGCCTAGGACTCAGAAAGGTTAACGCTGTGCCCAAAATCACAGAGCTGGTAAGAGGCAGAGTTAGGATTCAGTGCCCGGCGTGCCCTCGCTCTTTCTGCTGCCGCAGGTCTGTGGAAGGGAGGCCTTTCAGGTCCCTGTGGGCACTCGGGGTGGTGGTCAGGCTCACGTGCCCCCTGCTGTCCTCATGGGAACTGGCGTGGACCAGGAATGACTGTGTGTGTTACGCCCCGACAGTCAATGCGAGTGAAGCTGCAGCCGGCGTCCAGCTCCAAGCTTCCTGCGTTCAACCCTTTGGTGCCTCCAGCTGTGATCTCGCAGGTGCTGCTGCTCGACAACCCACACAAGGCATGTTCCCGTGTTTGACAGACAGCAGGGAAGTGGGCCCAGCTCCGGGGGCCGCATGGTCGCTGGACAGGGGTGGGCTGAGGCCTTGCGCGGACATCTCCAGTGGTTGGGAGTGCTGGTGGCCTGTTCCCCTGCTAGGGTCTGTTTCCCCCTGGGGCTTTTTGAAAGAAGATCTGCGACTGGACTGTCATGGCTGGGAACCAAGGGAGTGACAGAAACTCCCCAATGCCTCTGAAAGGGTGAGGTCGTCCATTCCTCGCCACCTCTGAGCAGGAATGCACAGTTGTGGGAGGTTCCTAGGATGTGTGCCCAGCTGTGCTGTCGTGCCTGGGATGCCCTCGCCTGGGCTCCTTGGGGACTACTGGGTGGGAACCTTGACTTGGGCTGGTCTTCATCGCTCCTACTAACGTGCCATCTCCTGTCTTTGCCCAGGAGCCCATCCGGCTACGGTACAAGCTGACATTCAACCAGGGCGGACAGCCTTTCAGCGAAGTAGGAGAAGTGAAAGATTTTCCTGACCTGGCGGTCCTGGGTGCAGCCTAACTTTCCAAGACACACCCGCCAGTCAAGGTCGGGCCGTGTGACTGCCGCCTCCATGGGACCGACCATGGTGACCTTGTGCAGAGTGCTTGGAGCTGCTGACGTCTGCTCTGCATGCCAACCTCTGACTTCCTGTAGACACCGTGTGTGGGTGTGTGTGGAGCAGTTTGGGGTGTGCACAGTGGAAAGTGCTGAGCCTTTCTGAGCACCATCTGCTCCAGTCACGTCTGTTTCTGCATGTGGGGGACACTGATCTCCCTGCCCAGGGTTGGGGTTTTCTAAGCCAAAGGTGTTGTGTTTATTTTTGTGTGTTGTTATCTTTTCAATCATCCACTCTGTGCCTTGTCAGCCTTTGAAAGTCTTGGGTGCTCCCAGGCTGCTGTTCTCAGGGACCTTAGAAGGGGCCTGGTTGGTCTTGGGGCCGAGTGGCTTCCGGGGCACTCCCTTCCAGGAAGACCTCAGCTCTGTTTCCACTAGAGAGTGCTGCTTGCTTGTGCTTGGGAAGACCTAGGTGGGATGCTTGCTGCTGCACTGTGCCTTCTCCAGGCGAGGGGCCGCCACTAGACCCGAGGACCACACTCGGGTGGCCAGTCATGTTCCTCACCACTGTGCCTAAGCGTCAGCCATAGAGGGACCTCCAGGGCAGGGAAGGCAGGTCCCCAGCCTTCCTAGGGCCTCGGGTTCCATGGGTTGGGCAGCCTGTCTGGGCTCTCACTCAGGACCCTCATCCTTTGTCCACAAGCATTAACTTAGAGCCCTTTGATGGTGACACAGTACCAGTCACTGTAAATCGTAGCTGGCAGGCTCCCCCTGGTCTGTTGCCTTCACAATCCATGAGGAAAACTGTGAGCATATAGATGTGAAAAGAGCTTAGCAGTGATTTCAGTGGTGACGGAATATTGAAAGTCATTCAATAAATACCTGTGTAGCAAATACACCTTGTGGAGTTTTGAGTAAGTGGAAGATGCAAAGCCCGTTGCTGTAGAGATGGTGGACTTAAGGGAACAGCGTCTGGAGGAAGGGAACCCCGACTGCTTCAGTGAACTGACAGGCCCTGAGGCTCTGACCAGGCTGGAGAAGAGATGGGGGTTTTGTTACACTCACGGTGTGAAGGGAAATTCAGGTTTATAATCAATACTGAGCACCTACTATGTGCTGGGCACTAGGTGTATGTTTTACAGTCCTGGTTGGTTTGAGGAAGGCTGAGATGGCCTGAGGGAGGATTTGGTCTCACACTGCAAGGCTCTGTGGGGCTCCTGGCCACAAAATCCGGCCCGTCGGTCTGGTCTTTCAGCTTCTGCATATAGTTGGAAATCCCCCAACATTAACCGGGGTGGAAGCTGCAAAGATAACCCACGTGTGCAAATTTTTAAGCAAATGTGTAAACTCATGAAACATGATGGGGTGATTTCTTCCTTTGGCGTAAGGCCCAGAAGATTGGTTTTAATCTGATGTCACTTTTATGTTCAGATGTGTATGTTCTCGCTGTTTCTTAGTCTTTAGGGGGAACAGTGCCACCTGTGAAGAACTTCCATCGTTAAGTGGCCGCATGAGATTCACACACGATAGGCTTTTCTCCCACTGCTCAGAGGTGAATTCGTGTCTCCTGGGTGTGGGGCCCTGATAGGGGGGTTCGAGGGCAGGGGTCTTGAATGTGGCCTTGGTTATGCTCTCTGTGCCTCATTGTCATGTTCAGTGACCACTCAACATTTGACCAGCTGCTGTCGCATGGCGGATGCAGCGGTGACAGGGTCCCTGCCTGCTGGCCCCTCCGCTCTGGTGGGGATGTGCCTGGATCAGTGGTCTTCCTGTCCTGCACTCTTCCAGCACCCTCCTCTGGACCCTTCCTCTGCTCTCCCTGGTGCTGTGTCCTCAGGGCTTAGTCCTTAGGAATTTCCTGAGCACAGCAGGGCAGTTCACCCCTAGGTGCGTCCTAGACCTCCATCTCAAGCTTCTGCCTCCAGGCTGACATCAGGTCTGTGTTTCAGGCCGGCAGTGGATATCTTTATCTGGAGGGTCCACTGTTGCAGCACTGCAGATGCTTAGAATGGAACCCACATTCTCTTATTTGAATAGGCATATAGATAACAGAATTAAGAGTCCAGAAACCCTTTTTTTTTTTCACTTGATTTTTGACAAAAGGTCTAAAGGCAATTCAGTGGCGAAAGGAAAAGCTTTTCAACAAGTGCCCCTGGGATGGTTATATTAGTATGTGTGTGCGTGCGTGCACACACACACACACACACACACACACACACACACACACACAATGAACTTAGACCTTTACTTCACACCATACACACAAAAAAATGAACTCAAACTGGATCACAGACCTAAATGTAAGAGTGAAAACTTCTAGAAGAAAATTTAGGAGAAATAATTCATGATCTCGAGTTAGGTAAAGATTTACATTCAACAAAAGTATGATCCATTAAAGAGAAAATGATCATGGACTTTTTATCAAAATGAAAAACTTGTGCACCTCAAAAAACTAAGAAAATGAAAGGACCAGCTGCAAACTGGAAGAAAATATTTGCAAACCATATCTTTAATAAAGGAATTACAGAGTATGTAAAGAATTCTGACAGCTCAATACTATTAAAACAAGCAGCCCCATTTGAAAAGCAGACGATTTAAATTTCACCAAAAAAGATGCGTGGCTAATACATGAAAAGTTGGTCAGTATCATTGGTTATTAGGGAAGTGCAAGTTAAGTGACAATGATATGCACTGCATACCAAGTATTGGTGAGGCTGCAGCGAGTGGAACCATCAGACATTGCTGGTGGTAACAAAATGGTGTATAGGTACTTAATACGTCAAGTTCCTTACAATTTGGCAATTCTGCTCCTAGGAATCTACCCAAAAGGAATGAAAAGGTGTCCACAAAGCCATGCAATTTGTAGCAGCATTATTCATATTGGGTTGTCAGAAAAGTCATGACTCATTTTTGCAACGAAAGCCAAAAAATACGTCGTGACTTTTCAACAACCCAATAATATCCTTAAACTAGAAATGGCATACGTGCCCATCAGGTGGTTGGGTAAAATGAGTCGTATCCACACAATGGAACACCACTGTTCAGCGACATAAAGGAACAAACCACTGATACATGGTTCAACACGGGCGGACCGCAAAAACACGCTCAGTGAACGGAGATGCAAAGGCCTACGTGGTGTAGCATTCCATGTATCTGAAATGCCCAGAAAGGTGAATTTATAGAGCGGTTAGTGGTTTCCTAGGACTGGCTGAAGCAGAGATTAAGTGCAAATGGGCAGGAAGGAACTTTTTGGGCTGATGGGAATTTCTTGTGGATTTCCCACAATGCTCCAGTTACTAAATTGAATTGTATACTTTCATGTCCCGCAAATGTATTACTCAATAAAGGTGCCGCAGCCCATCTTAAAACATTGGGGAGAACTATTACCTGTACGGGCTTAGACTAAACACAGATTTAAGCGCTCAACAGGC